AATATACTATATCTATATCAAAATAGCTTGATTTTAATAATTTATTCTTTATAAAGATTTCAGCTTTTTATTTAACAATCTGATATTTAGAATTTGCTAAATAAAGAATTAATTAATAAAAAAGTGATTATACTAATTATAGAGTTTGAATAAGAATATAAGATTCCGAAAGATTCTTATTATTAATAAAAATAATATAATTGAAAACATCAATATAGCCTTTAACAATATAAAACTATAATAAATCAAGAAATAGATTCTTTTTATCTTTATTGAAGTGATTTTCTTTATCAAATCGAATAAAAGTATATACAATATATTGAATACCTTTGACTATAAAACTAAAAATAGTATATTATCTAAATCCAATATTCCCGCTATCAACTATTCCTATAAAAATAATATTTTTCAAAGCAATCTGGTATCATAATAGATCTAAATAATCAACAAGTGCTAAGAAAATTATATTACTATCAAATCCTTAATCAACAATATAATAAAATCTGCTTAAAATAATTTCAGTAATATATTCCTCTTTTGGAATTAAAACGATTCTCTAAACTCGAAAAACTTTATCCTAATCAAAGGTTTTAATAATAATAAATAAAATCGGGATTTTAGTTATTTGTAGATTTATAGATTTAGTAAAATCAATTTATATAGTTTGGAATTTTAGTATATAATTTATATCATCTAATAAATATAGAAAATATTACTTTATTTAATTCTGATTTAAGATAATATTTATAATACGAATATGATGAACTTTAATTAAGTTATTATTGGATCCAGGTTGTATTATAATATATAAAATAAATTTATTTATAGTTTCGATAATAGATTATATATTCTTCTTCTTTTTCTTTTTAATAATATTTTTTCAAATTGTAAAATATCATAAGTTTTTAAATGTATCGAATGAGATTTGATAAAAAATCAATATATTAATTTCTGAGATTTTTGATTTAAAAATAGAAAATAAACTTTTATAGTCAATAGAGATTTCTTTTATTCTTATAATGATATTGAATAAAGGTTTAGAAGATTTAATGAATTTCTTTGTTAAGATTGGATAGAATATAGATTTTAAAGTATATTCCTTATACTTATATATTATAAAAAGGCTTAAAGAAGCTCGAATTGATTAAGGTAAGGAGTTATGAGATGAAAATTAAGATGAATTCTTAAGAATTGATTTAGGTTTTTTATGAAAATAAGGAATGAAAATATTGGGATATCTATTACGGAGAGTATCCCTTGTATAAGTGTTCTTTGTATGAGGTATATTATATTAATCTCCAATAGCACTAAATATATTATTAAATCTAGCTCTTTTGTGAGACGTTATATTAAAAACTTGAATTTCCTTTTACTCGTTATTTATATCTATATCAAATTTTATATTAAAAGAATATATTCCGGGTATAGGTATTTTATTATTTGAATAGTCTGAATCATTGTTGATTTGTGTCGAAGAGAATATGGAATCTAATCTAAAAGGGATTGAATCCAGGTTGGTGGGCTTAGGTTTCTAGTAGTTGTTTAAGTCAGTTCAATTATTAGTATTAGTATTAGATAATTAAGGGTATATATAAGCTATTGATATAGCTATAATATTATGGTTTGGGAAAATCATATTTCTTAAAACAACTTGTTTTTAGTATTAAAGAGATTGATTTATATAGTTTGACTTGGTGTGATTGTAGATTTTATATTTAAAATATAAAGGCTTTTTTGAGTAGTTGTATTATTCCGATTTATTGATAATATTATTCCAAGAGTTCTTTAGGTTTAATTTAATCTCTTTTGTTTGTATATCTATCGGTATAAGAGATTGAATATAAGCAGATTGGGGTAGTAGATTCGATAGTCTTGAATTCGAATTATTGTTTTCTTTATTATTAAAATTATAGTTGTTGTTAGGGGTATTCCAATTCTATTAATTAGAGAATTGAAATTGAGATATTTATTCTAAAAAAGATTCAATCTTCTTTTTGAATAAATCCTTAAGGTTTTATTTCTTTAAAGTATTAGTAATATGATTAACAATATCGTTCTGAATAAATGTTTTTTTTATTTCTATATTTTTTTGAGTATTGTATATTATTGAATAGTTTTTATTTAGGGATCTACAAATAGTGTTTAATTTGATAAATTCTAAATAAAGATTAGAGTTAATAAGATTAATAACGAATACTTTAATTAAGGTTTCTTGAATATTAGTTTAAAGAATATTGGTATTGTATTTAAAAAAAGGTATATCTTTATAGTCCATTTTCGATTGTAGATTCTTAATACATTGATAATATTTTTGAATGGATTTGCTTTTCTTTTAAGTTAAAGAGCTTATAGTATTGAGAATCAATTATATAGAATCTTTATCTTCCTTACTTAAGAAATGATTAATAAGAATAATAATAAATTTATTTTACAAAGCTTTATTTGTTAAGTTAATATTATTTATAATCTCAGAAAACTCTCTATTTTTATCTAATCATTTATTAACTTTATTAGAAAACTTAAATAGAATAAGATTAAAAAAGGTGTACAGCTTGTAAGTATTATTATTAATAGTAAGATATATAATTTGTTTAGCTTTTTAAACTTATGATTTAATAATATTCTTTTCTTTTAAAAAAAATAATATATTGTTAACCTTAACTTTAGTTTATTCTATACAAATTGTTAAGATAATAAAGTTATTCGATATTGTAAAAGGATTTAATAGATAGTATTTCGGAAGGATTTCTTAAATTTAAAGAATGAAAAATCGAAGTTGTAATTTGATAAATAATAGAATTAAATTGTTAAAAGGGTTTTATATATTTTCTAATAATTATTGAGTAAGTGGAAGATAAAGGTTTTGTTTTTTGGGAATAAAATAAGAATAATATCGAAAAAACCGAATAATAGTTTGAATTTGCTTGAAGGGAATAGTATTGATATTGTTCAGAGTAAGATTGAAAATCTATATAGCAGATTTCCGGAATCAAGAGTAGTATTAAAAAGGTGTTTTAAAAGTTGAAAGGAGTTTGTATTTTGATTGTAAGGTGATATTGAGTTTTTATGGGAGGTGTTGTAGAAGTAAATATATAGAGTATTTCTGAAAAGAGAAATATTTGAGAGATAAAAAGAAGGATTAGAATAAGTTGTTTAAATACTGGATTTCTGTAATTATATAACAATTCTCCAAATTAATAGAATTATATAGTATCTATAACTCTTTTGAAAGCTCTTTTAATGCTAATATAGTGATTGTAATACAGGCACTGCTGTGCAACGATTTTAGAAATAAAAAGGATTTCTGAATATTCTTAATTTAAAGGTTTAACTGTAAAGAGAATAGAGATAAGATATTAAATATATCTTAAATCTCTATATAGATCACTAGAAAAGATGTGTATTATAGGTAAGGTTTTAGTATTAAGTGTAGTATATATTATATTGAAAGCTATGTATAATCCAGTTGACTATATCAATCAAGATGATTACGTAATACGCCTAATGCGTTTAGCCTGTTTTCTCTAACAAACTATTATCGAATTCTAATTCTATATATTATACTTTTGAAAACGAAAGCTAAAAAAGAGAAAGGCAAAACCCTATTGAATATAAATCACCTTATTATCAAATACAAATTATTATTTTATCAAAAGCAAATCGATTTCTTTTTCGAAATTTTCGAGATTTTCAAGGTTTTTAAGGTTTTCAAGGTTTTCAAGGTTTTCAAGATTTTCAAGGTTTTCAAGGTTTTCAAGGTTTTCAAGGTTTTCAAGGTTTTCAAGGTTTTCAAGGTTTTCAAGGTTTTCAAGATTTTCAAGGTTTTCAAGGTTTTCAAGGTTTTCAAGGTTTTCAAGGTTTTCAAGATTTTCAAGGTTTTCAAGGTTTTCAAGGTTTTCAAGGTTTTCAAGGTTTTCAAGGTTTTCAAGGTTTTCAAGGTTTTCAAGGTTTTTAAGGTTTTCAAGATTCGAATATGGATTGGATTAGTTCTTGGTACTCTTGTATTACGGTATAGCTCCTTTTAAAAGCTATGGAGAAGCTGAACCTTATAAAATGAGGATGTAGGTACTGCAACTAGCTTACTGTAGGAGTTAACAAGACTTCGAAAAGGGATTGATCTAGTAGTGATTGGCTGTTGAATAGCTTTAAAGCTTTTGAGGATGAAAGTTTAAGGAGGAGGGTTCTGTTATAGGTATTGATACGATATAGAATCGATATCAGGTCGACTATTAGTCCAAAAGTGAGTGAAGAGTTTTCATATATATATAGCTTCAGGAAAGAGGTTTTAAAGGAATTAATGAAAAGTCTTATTCTAGTCCTACACCTATATTATACTAGTCGTCACCTTGTATTGATTCTAACAATAATAAAGATCAAAGGCTTAGGGACTAGCCTTTATACATATTATATTATATAAAAATAGAAAATTTTATTCATTATTAGTATTATTAGTATTATTAGTATTATTAGTATTATTAGTATTATTAGTATTATTAGTATTATTAGTATTATTAGTATTATTAATAAGTCTTTAATAAGTCTTTAATATGTCTTTAATATTAAAGAAATAAAGATAAACTTTATTCTTTGTTTTTTTAATTCTTTATTCTTTTAATTCTTTATTGAACCCGTAATAAAAGATATTATATAATTATATACAGATCATATAATCATATACAAATTGATTTCCTGAGTATAGAGAATATAATCTATATTATCTAATACGCCATACAAAAATTCTGTAAAATCCGATGTATAAGTTTCTTTCGCTACGCTCCGAAACATAGACAAACACTACCTACCTACCCACCTTCTCATTTTATTCCATTCCAATCCAATCCTAATAAGTGATAATCTTTATCGCATTATCAGTCTACTCTCCTCTACTTTCCTCTTCCATCCCATCCTTTCCCAACACAACACAACACAACACCATACATTGACTCACTCACTCTCATCCCAATCTCAACCCCATTTATTTATTTTGATTGTATTTTCATTCACTCGCTATGTACTTTACAGTACACCCACATACTTCTCCCTCGCTCCCCATATTCCATTCCATCCCATTTCTTTCCATCCCTCCTCCTCCAAATCCGCTGCTCCCCCTTCCCAACTTCCCACTCCCCATCTATCAATCGATCGATCAATTACCATACCATAGCTACACAAATCATTCGTACAAATTCCTCCATCTTCCTTCCCCTATCCCTCATCCAACTTCTCCTCTCCATCCTACACTATCCATCCATCCATCCATTCATCCCATCACAATCACAATCATAAAAGCCGTTAATTCTTCCATCCCATCCATTTCTTCTGCAAGAAAGGCCCAGCCAAAAACAAAAACCAAAGCCAGGCCCTATCCCATCTATATGAATTTCATGTCACAAAGACTGAACAAACAGAAATCTATGATCATTTCATTTTCGCCCATCCCAATCAAAAAAGAAGAAAAAAGACAAATGCAAACCACCCCCAACCCCCACCCACCTCCAAAAAAAAAGCACCCAACCAAACCCAACCCATCCACCCAATGCCCCTATAAAATAGTGAAAGATAAGAAAAAAATTGACGATGTGATATTTTCGCCAGTTACTATATCTTCTCATCTGTGGTGAACAGGAGAGCTTGTCGTATTCTGCTCGACAAAGGAAACTCGTTGATTAATACTTTTTAGTCGCAGTATATCGGGAATGTTCATGATCCCGAAAGAATTTCAAAGCGCTAAGTTCAGGTGATTTTGTTTCATATAATCCAACGGAAGAAATAGAAGAAGAAAAAGTCCATCCTATGTGCGTAACGCGAAGAAAGCAAATTATTGATCGCCTGTGCCTGCCATTTAAGCCCCCGTGAAAAGCGCCTTCGCTGGAGTTTTGATAATCTGACTGATGATACCGCTCAATTTACAGAATTGCAAGCAAAGTATGATAAAGAAAAGAAAAATTTGGTGGTTGATGCACCCACCCGTGCTGTTATTTGGAGTCACACACTCCTCTAATCGAATAAGTGATGAGTCCCGTCGATGACATGAACATTGTCAGGATCTTGATCAGCAGCATTTGGCTTGACTGTTGCTCGACCCTCAACTCCAATACTCCTAGCTTTTGAGCTGAGCGGAAGGGTATATTTGAGTGTGCCTCGGACGATCAGGTCGAACTCATGTTGAAGAACTCGCCCCCAGCGCTCTGATCCACGTGGCTCCGTCTGATTTCCAGGTTTTAGTATTCGCATCTCACCTATTGATACAGATGATGTAGGTTTGAATGGCGACCCTTCAAAGATCAAGGGACTCTCGAAATTGTAAATATGTCCAATTTCCAAATTCGGATTGGTGTTTGGATCATCATCCATCGGCGGATCATTGATTGGATCATCTCGTCTATGTTTGAATCCACGCCTCCACGAAAATTTGGTTGGCGGCTGTGCCCACCACTCAGAATCTGTACCTGCATATTTGGACTTCGCAAAAATAACCATATCCATGGAATCGATAGTGACAGCAACCAGGTTGGGATTTTGAGCCGTGACCTGTAAATCTATAATGACATCTTGTTCGCTAGCCAAGATATTTCTCAAAGCCAATACTTTCACATTTGCTAGTGGTTGGGTTGTCGCAAATAAGAATGCCACAAGACCTGCCGCGACGAGGAGAAGCAGTAGAGAAACAAACATGCATCCAGCAAACCGAGCGATGAATGAGCGGTTATTCCTTTGATGTTCCATGTGTCTGGATGATGGGGCATTTCCACGGCGTATGCGACTTGATCGAGTTGAACGAATGGTAGATGGAATCAGTGGTGTTCTTTCATCGTCCGCAGCATCATCAAGATCGTATCCTGAGCTGATTGGCGAGGTCTTCCTGCCGTTCACGTTGCCTCCCATGGACATTCTCGCCGTGTTTACCACTCTCGGACTCGTAGGTCTTGAACCTTGTCGAGTAGGGTTTGCGGCAAATTTGGATTTCGCAGCATTGGGAAAGGGTGATTCGTTATCGAAGAGAGATGCATGGCCGTTTCCCCCATTTCTTCCCCAACGACTAAAGTGATGATGTGCCGTCCCTCGGCCTAAATTACTTCGTGCTGTGCCCTTTCCGTCGTCTTCTGTTGACATCTCTTGACCGGCGCTATTGTAAGAGTTTGCGAATTTCATACTCTTCTTCATCGCCACACTGTGATTGCTACTATCCATCATTGAGCGTAATCCGTTTCTTGCATCTATCTGACTGGCCATGGATGTAGCACTAGGAGTTCGGGAATGAAATCGACGAGGTCTCTCTTGTTCTGGTGGATTCGATTCGTACACAAAGGTCTCTTCGGAATCGGAGGAATTCGCTTCGTCGACCGCGCTCGCGACTTTAGCTTCGAAGATATCTGCCTTGGAAGAAGCTGGACGTTGTCTGGTTAGCAAAAGGGAAGCACTATACAAATTTAAACTGGGTCTACGCGAAGATCTCTCTGATATCGTCCGCTCGGGACTCGTCGAGTCCATACTTCCTTTACGTGGCGAGGGTCCTTGTCCACACGCCCTGTCTGGAGACCGAGCGGAATATGCACTTGAAATTGATCTTGTAGAATAATGATGGAGTAATCTGGATCTTGAAATTGATTGCTCACCCGTTCCAGAAGTTACCGATGGGGCCTTTCGACTCTTCTTCTTTTCCTTCCTAGGTCGAATGGTCTCAGTACTTTGCTTGGCCCGTAAACTTCCATTAGCCAATCCTCCCGCACCCGTAGCCAGAGCAATTTGTGGGATCGAGCTCACAGTCTCCGTCTCAACTGTCATGTTTTTCGCAGAGCCTTCCCCAGATGGTTTGCCTCGCGCTGCGGCTGGTCCACTAAACGATTTAGGTGGTCCAGTTCGAGTTGCCGTGGGGGTAGTATTCTTCATCTTGTGATCCCCCTTCCCACCACTCTCACTCCCACTCTCATTTGTCACAATCGTCGGCTTCTTCAACGTCTCAACCGATGCGCCATCCATTAGGTCCTGTTCTGTTGGTAAAGTTGGACTTCCCTGAGTGGTCGTGTCGATTGCGCCATCGAGTTCGAAAGATGGGGTGTTGGGTTGGCTGATCTCCTGGACGGTTTCTAACGTTGAACTACCACCACTGACACCTCTCGCAGGTGTTCGCATCCCTGGTGTTAACAGGTTCTCTTCTGATTCGCTATCGGCCGCAGATTTTCCTTCCGCTCTTTGCTCTGCAGTGGGAGAGGTTCTTTGCACATTGATCGCGGGAATTTCTTGTTCCGTCTTTCGAGGCGAGAGCAGGCTACTTTGTCTGGGAGGAGGTGATCTTATTCTCGGGGATACAGGCCAGCGTGGACCATCTCTGATTTCACTCGTTACTAGCGGCTTCTGAGGTATTGGTGCTCTAATCAAAGGTTCGGATGCAACGTGATTCAAAGTAGGAAGCTTTTGAGCTGACAACCCTCGTTGGATGGCAGCAGCAGATGGTGGGTGTTGACTACTCGTGGAGCGTGAAGGACTAATGTCTTGGCTATTCTTCCGTGATCTCGAAGGGGTACCTGAGCGAACGGCAGAGGGATTTCTTAGTTGAGGTCGGACTGGTGACGATTCGCGTGATCCTATTGGACTATTGGTTGCAGACGATGCTCGGTTTGTTTGTAATCTCTTAACAGTAGGTTTAGTTGATGTATCGTAGTTCCTTCTAGATGAAGCGAAGGGTTTTGAATCTGAGGTTGGTGATGGAATGTTTGAATCTAATGGTGATGGTGAAGGAGTTTCTCGCATCTCTGCAGGTTTCTGAGTGTATGATTTGTCGTCCATTGTCACTTACTTCTTGATTTTGGGGGGAAGCCGTACGAGTACAACGTAACGAAAAGTTAAAGAGGGTAGCTTTGGGTAGGTACGACGAGTGAGAAGGTAGTGCGTTATTTTAGAGGGGACTGTACTAAGTAGCGAATGGGGAGGTACCCGAACCCAACTTTTCTTTGCCAGCAAAACTTTAATGACGGAGTAATCTTATGGATGGATGGATGGATGGATGGATGGGTGGATGGTTAGAGAGATGGAATTTAACGAGCCAAATGATGGATTGGGTTAAGAAAGATCATATCATCCATTCAAAGAAGATTTCCTCAATGATGGCTGTATCGAATCCAATAAGAAAGTCTTTTTGATTTTGCTTTTTTTTTCTTCTTCTCCTTGGTTTTGCGGGAATGATAAAGAGGGGTCGTGAGGTCGTTGAGGTCGTGATGAGTGGTGTGTTTGTTGTGTTGTCGTAAATGTTTCAATAAGGCTATGTATATAGTATGTATGTGTGTACCTATGTATATGTGTGTAAATGTATATGTAATCTAACCTATGTAGGAACACCAGGATGAACAGATGGGATGGGATTGGATTGGATTGATTGGAAGCGTAAATGGTAAAATGTGATTTGGGGTTATTATTGTTAGAATTTGGCTTGTGTTCTTCGTCTGTGTGTGCGTGTGTGTGTGTGTAATGTATCTAGCCAGGTAGGATTATAAACAATATGATTTGGTAGGGCAGAGCAAGGCAGAGTAGAGCAGGGCAGAGACAAGCAAGTTATTGTCTCATTAGGATAAGATGGGAAAATAAGAATGGGTCGAAGAATATATATTCCATCTGTGATCTGTGAAAGAAGGGAAAAGGAAGAGACGTTCTCTCTTCTTTCTTTCTTTCTTTCTCTTCTTCTGTACGGACGGAGTAATGTCAAGATCCACCATCTCAATCAAAGCATTCCATTCCATTCGCATTTCATTCATTCCACTCGCACCACTCGCACATCTTCTTTCTTTGGTCTCGCTTTCTCTCCTGTGCTCCGCTTTCTCCCAAACTCTTCTCGAACGGCGATTTTGAATGGTCTATGTTCATGTGTGTGTGTGAATAATGACCGGTCCTCCTCCGCCCCCGTTACCAATAATGTGGATTCAAGCAACGGTTCAATTGAGCGGCACAGGGGAAGTGGCCTGGTAGCCTGGTAGGAAAAAGACGAGACTCCATCTGACTAAGCTCAAGTAGGATTAATGTGTGAGCTTTGAAGAAAAATTTGAAGCATCGGAGGGAGAGAAAGAAATTCCGAAATTCTAGATGTTGGTCGGCTGTGTGGGTGAATGGACTGGATTGGTATGATGAAAATGTACACCAGTCAGTAGTAACTTGGAAGTGGTTATTTTACACAGCTTGGTTTTAGTTGTATCAATCAATTATTATTAATCCATCAGTCAATCAGTCAATCAATATCTTGAAAACTTCATCACCTGATACAGTACACTGACGATGACGATATCATGACTGACTATTATATATGAAACATGATTTAAGCTCTCTTTCCAATCCTCTCCTCTTGTGCTATCTACCCTACCTGCTTACCTAGGTACGGAGGTATCTATCATGATTGCAGATAGCTTCTATCTAGAGAACTAGTCCTCGTATCGGAATACGAACTCAATTTTGCTCTGCTTACATTTTCCTCTTCTTCTATATCCCATGCCCATATCTATCCTATATAATATATAATATATAATATATAATATATAACATATAACATATCCAACATCCTAATCCCAATCCTAATCCCAATCCTCCCTCCACCACCAAAACCCTACCAGGTATATTCTAGAAGAACCTCTCCTTCCTCACCGATTCCTCCACCCTCCAACCCTACCTGACCATCCCAATCCAACCTCCATATCCCACCTTTCCCCCAAAACCATTCCCTAGTACCACCCCCAAAGCCGCGGGAGTAACTCTCTTCATCCATCTCATCTCGATGGTACCTGAAAACCGATCTTCTCCTCCGAGCCAGCCTTCCATCACATCACACATCATACATCACCGAACCCTCACCTCTTCCTGTCCTCATCGGAACCCACGGGAAATATGATGAAGAAATATACTCGACCTAAATTTCCATGAACGTACATGACTCCCCCTCGTAAATCCCTACCCATTGATGATTTTACCACACCATTTCACAACACCATCTTACCGTAAACGTATGTATCAAATATCTCTAACCACAAGGCTGCATATGCCACCTCCTCCTCCTCACTACCATATTACCCATCCCGAATCTTCCTAATTGCACATATAAATCCCGGTTTTTATTATTCCTCCAACTGTTCGTACATCCTACAATGTATCCTACCTAAATATGAATGACGATGTATCGTACAGTAACAATAATGACGACAACATCCCAATCAATTCCATTCCAACCAACTAAAATCAAATCAACTCACACCCATCCATCCATCCATCCATCCTCCATAGAAATGATGAAAGCGGCTCCTCTCACATGTTCCCTCCCTAGTATCTACTATCTATCCATCTACCCCGGGATCCGGAGACAAACCTCCTAGAAAAACATCCCATCCCATCACATCACATCACATCACATCATCTGAATTTTGCAACGTACATTTTGTTCATACAGTCAATCAATAGATACTAGGTAGGTATCTTAATCCGAATTGTACTCGTAAATCGTGATTTGAAACCTTCATTTATCTGCGAATCCATCCATTCATACGGAATGAAAAAGACTGAAAATTCCCCCTCACTCCCGAGGTCACTCTAATCAACAAAACCACCTATCGTGCATTCCCCTCAAATTCCTACCTACTATCTATCATACTACACTACCTAGATAATTAAAAAGATCACCTGATACACCAAACAAACCATATTAGCATACCAATAAAAATAACAAACAAACAAAATCTTGATTCATCAATTTCTATAACATTTTTTCCTCCGTACATCGATTTTTTCTTCTTATTTTTGATTGGTTATTTCATACTTTCTCCTCATCCACTTTTTATGCATACTCTGCATACTCTCCACCTTATCCATCTTATCCATTTTATGCAAAAGAATTGGTCTGGAAGGTCTAGATGCTTATGTTGATGCTTATGTTGATGCTTATGTCGATGATCAAGATGGAGAAAACAGGTTATGGTTATGAAACGGATGTAAAGGCTTGGATTTTGTCTTGGGGTTGGAGGGATAAGGGGATGGATAAGGGGATGGATGAGGAGATGCTGGTTTAGGTAAGCTGGCTCGGGTACCAGGTAAGTAAATCTGCTTCTTTGAGTTGGTTTGAGACTGGTGTATAATGTGTAGAGCTAGGTACCTAGGTGTAAGTAGGTATCATGTATATGGATATCATGTCTATATCATGTATGTACTCAGGTTCGTTCAATTGGGGATTTCGATCCTTCATCCCTTTTTATCTGGATCTCATCTTTCCATCTCTCCATCAACTAAAACAATCCAACATTTACTCATTCCCTTCCTAGAACATACCTTCGTAGGTATACAAACCATAAACCATAATAAATCTCAAACTAATTACAGTCTTACAAATTACAATATTCATATATATCAATATATCAATCAATTAATCAATTAATCAATTTCATTCAAAAAATCTTAAAGATCTTAAATATTAAATCAGTATTCCCCTCACTCCTCTCCCTCCCTCCTATCTTGAAATTCTAATATATTGATTTTATTTATTTATTCTCTCTTTTATTCATTTACCGTATTATAACTATTCAATATTTCGATATATTTCTATTTGTTATACTATTTCAGTATATATATATATTAATTTTCATAAGATATTTAACTAAATAGATATCTAGATGAATATTAAAAGAAGATTTCACAATTTATCTAATAGATAGATAGATAAGCTAATAGACAGATAGTTAATTACTCGAGGGAAATAATATAAGAGTTTGAGAATATAAGAAGATAGAATATATAGAGTAAGTATTATCTATCTATTTAAAAATTAGAATTATAATATTCTTTATCGTTATACTAGATATTTCTCTTTTCATAATTGATCTCGATTCTTATATTAAATTAAAAATCAGATGAGGAGAAGATGATAATAATAATAATAATAATAATAATAATAATAATAATAATAATAATAATAATAATAATAATAATAATAATAATAATAATAATAATAATAATAATAATAATAATAATAATAATAATAATAATAATAATGTCTGGATATAGTAATTTTATTATAATACTCGAGTAAATAAATTTAATTCTTTTTGAATATTAACTAACTAACTAACTAACTAATTTACTAATTAACTGATTAACTAATTATTAAAAATAAAAATAAAGAAATTAAAGATACTTCTATATATATATCACGGAGGTAATAGCTATATCTAATAGTTACTTTAATCTGGGAATAGGTATATAAAGTAATAATAAACTAGATTGACTTGAAATATAATTATAATAATATCACGAAGGTAATAGCTATATCTAATAGTCACTTTGATTAGGGAATAGATATATAGAGTAATAATAAACTAGATTAACTTGAAGTATAATCCTAATAATTATATCTACTTTATATACCCTGATTAGATAAGATACTTGTTTAATTAGATATATAAAATATACAAATAAAATAAATAAAATAATATTAATAATTATAAAAATAAATATTCTAAAAAAGTATCGGGATTAATATTTATAAGATTACACTATATAGTAAATTCCGTAACATACTCCTCAAATTATTAAATATTTTAATAATTATATTAAATGATTTATATAATAAACAAACAAAAAATTCTTAGGTAATGAATAGTATAAGTATTAATAAGCATTTTATTCGGATAGTTGTTGTAAATTTATTTACTAAATAAGTTTATTTATTAAATAAAAAAATATAAAGTATATAAATATATAGAGTTTTTTATAAAAGAAAAAAGTAAATTATATTATTGATTTAGATAATCTATAAGAAAATGATAATATTGAAGTAAGGAAATTAATCCTTTGAATTGATATATATTAGGAGATCTGAGTTATATTGATTATTATTAACTAAGTATTTATATTAATTGATTTAATCAATTTGTATATATAATATTTTTATAACAGTAATGAAATTAAATAGAAATCAATAGATTTTAGAGAATATAATAAATCGAAATAATTATAAAAGGGAAACAGTTCTTCTTTTTTAATCTTTATATTCAATAGTTTGATATATTTTTTAAATATACCTTCTCCTATTAGAGAATTCTTTGATTCTGTTAATATTTTTGGTCGATATATAACTGTTTTTCTATATAATATATTAAAGAATAATATTTAATCTAATAGATCTAGTACTTAATATATTCCTATTCAATTATTATCTCTAATTGAAATCAAATTGTTTTTTAATAAAAGAACTTTGTAAATAAAACTTTTTTTTAATAAATTTTAACAAAATTCCGATAATAACTTTTTGAAAAAGATTAAAGCTATTTGTAATTACTAGATTGAAATAAACAAATATTATATAATAATTATTTCTATAAATATAATAATTTCTTTATTGATAATATGGATAAATATTATTTTTCTAATTTTTCTTTTAATAATAAGAGTTTTTTATTAAAAATCCTTTTTTTTTTAAATAAATTTATTTTTATATTTAGGTTAAGTAAATTCTGAATATTTATTTATAAAGTTTATAGTAAGTATAAATAAAAAGATTCTAAGTGTAATTTTAGAAATAAGAATATATAAAACTCTATTTTCTATATAGAATATGTTTATTCT